TTATTTGGTATCATTTTAACTGAGTCCTCAAACGGGTAAGATGTCAAATCCATGTTCCAGACAAAAAATGTCAACCCATAGGCTTCTCAAGCTGCGAAGTCTCCCTGGAAAAAGTTCCCGATAAATGAGAACACTACAGCTCTCTGTAGGGAACAATTGTTAAGCATGGGTCTATTACTTTGTATTTTTTGGTTCGACCGAAGCTCGTATGACAATGAAACATGAATTCATTTTCAGGTTCAAATTTTGTTCTTGAACCCATTCTTGGAATCTCTTCCAAAATGTGTTATGTCATTGGCATTAGAATCATCCTATGAAATTAAACATTTAATTTATCATTTGGTCCTGGTTGGTTTGTGTGACATAGGCAAGCCATGACTTTGCGGCATTTGTGAGGCCTGAGAAACCAGGTCGCGGATCAGACATCCTATTTTTGGGATTCACATTTACAGCAAATCGTTAGGCTAAATTATGTTCAATAAACGAGTGAATAAACTGTAAAATTCCCTTTTTCTTGAAGTGATAAGCGTCTGTCTCACTCAGCACTGTCGGGTATCTTGACACGTGGCTAATTAACAGTTCCAACTCAGTGAAATTTATTTCCGTGAAATCGATCAGTCAGTCATCATTTTATCAGCTACAAAAGATGTATCATGAGTGTGTTAGCTTTAACTGCTGGATTTTTGATCACTGGAGAGTGGGACATACAGCCAAACATTGGAAGCGATGGCTTGTTCGGTTGGTTTGAGAACTAGGTAGCTATGCACTCAATGCGATGGGTTTGATGCATGAGCGCCACTGACTACGCGATCGAGCCATTTCAGCCAGTGACATTGACAATTGGTGAGCTGGCCCCTGGGTCTTCATCCAGGGTAGCGGAAGTAGTTGACCCGAATCATTTTACTGGTTGATGCTTTTATACGTATCGGGTCATAGCTGCTCAACAGCCTGAGGCTGGGGAAAATGAGCTCTGTGAGTCAGAAAGCCTGTCGTAACCAGGGTAACCTATGAAGCGTGAGTAGTTCATATTTCGAGAGGGTGAGAGAGTTCTTTCTTCCCCGGACCTTATGGCATACCTCATCATTATTAAACCGATGTTCCAACCAACACTTCGGTTACACTAATGTTTTTCGTACGTCCTATGCGCGGAAAGGCCACGGTTCTGATCCACAAAGTAGTGTGGATTGCACTGCCACGGATTAAGCTCTGTCCTCGAGGAACAAACTGAAATCCTGTCGCTGTCCCAAGCCTCGGAAGCTGATAAAAGCTGCCTGCGCATTCCCAATTCGGGAAGAAATATCCTCTCCAGCTAATCTACCCGAACTTATACAACTTCTCAAGTAAATGAATTTATCTACCACGTCGACTAACTCGCCTGCATGAGGCTTGGGTTTGATGTAGCAACATTTAGCAGGTGTAAAACGCGTGCCAAACCGCGCGACGGAATTAGTTAGGCTATTTTTCATATTCCTGAGCGAATGTCACGCAGGCATTTCGACGCCTATGGTTTCAAATGCGGGCAGTGAAAGTTAAAACACCATATCAATAACAAATATTTAGAAGGAATACGTGAGAGTGGCCTTTTCTCACACCATTGGACGCGGTGAACTTACGAAGAATCTTGTCGTGTACTTGTATCCGTCCGAAGAATTTGGCATACAGTGCCCTCTCAAGGAATGTAATTTAGGAAATAACCGCCTTTGGTCGCTAGTCACCCGCCAAAGTTTGTCACAAATCACAGGGTCACAAACAGCTTTTGGATCAAGAAAACGGTCAGTGTGGAACGTTTGAAAGACTGGTGCCGTTCATAAACGTGTATCAAGGTGAAGATATGCTCAATACATCTTCGAGCATTCACGAGCATGATTCTCACAAACCTGTCTCTCCAGATGATCGATCAGCCAATGCGAAATAATGCCTGAGAGCAGCTTGGATACCACGGCCACGAGGCTAATGCCAGAATAGCTTAAGCATGATTTTATGCCGTTTTTGAAGACGGAATGACGGTAGAAGAGCTCCACTCAACTGGTATTCTGCTGCCATCTCAAATCTTCCATATCATGAGCATAAGATAGTTCGTCAGGGCGTCACCACCTTTGTTGTGGGGGTGTAGGGTGTCAGGTACCTTGTCCTGTTGCGGCTGGTATATATAATTTTAGGCCTCCACTATTGACTGCGGACTGATTTCGATGTTCTATTCAGACCTCTTGAGTTCCTCTAGAGTTTTCTCTCAATAAGACCGGCACACTACTCAAGACCAGGGTTTCGACGATCAGTGTACAAATGAAGCAGTTACCCCCAATTTTCTTTACGCTGAGCGTTGACACCAAATTTACCAGCTAACTGTGCTTCTTCCAACTTGGGTATTCATATCGACCGCCCGGATTACCGTTTCCGTCCTTCTTTCTGACCAAAGCAGTCATGATAGTTCCTGGTAAAATCTGTCCTCCTTTGTCTCAGGACTGCAGACAATCCTCTGACAATCCACGACATGCCCCAACAACATTTACTATCATTCGGTTTCTGCTCATTGCTAAATTCACTGTGTTCACAGGTGTTTCTACTAAACAGTGTGGACGAAAGCCGTAATACGTTTTCATTATGGAATTAAGGGGGCTTGTTTTTTGCCTGCAGTCTGTCCTTAACTTTTGACTTTAACCTATGGGAACGCTAGCTGTATTTCTGGTGCCGATGTAACTCTTTACTAGTCACCGATCTACACATGATGTTACAAGTGATTTGGGCGGAACTCACTGCCGTAGTCTGTCAGTCACTCTCAACTGTCGATGAATTGGGTTCCTGTCTGGATCGGTTTTAGTTCTATGGATGGGGGCGTACTCGGAAATGTCAGGTAAAAAATAATTCTGCCAAGTGATTGTCATTTAATACAAGGCTATGGGTTCAGGATTTCATGTCGGGAGTCGAATAAGCAACGAAATTTAAGCTTGATACGTCCCTGAACTAACAACTTACGTTTAATCTCTTACTTTATAGTACGTTTGACTGTGGCGACGTTGTTTTGTGTAACTTAATTGTTTTTATGCTTTTTGTGTAATTCACTTTTTCTCACTCAATTTGTGTACAGTGTTTTTCATACGTTCACGGGGCATCCGACGGACAAGAGTCTCTCCGAATCTACCTAATAGAGGGCGAATTTCTGGGTCCGTGTTTAGAATGACTCTGGTTAACATGACCATACGAGTGCACTCATGCATCGTAACACTATGGTGAAAGCAGAGTATCTGTCAGTCACGAAATCAGTGCGGTTCACTGTGGAAAGCTTAGGTTAGGCCACATGGCGGCGGTCACGAGATCGGTGATACAAGCTGCCAACAGTGATCCGGTTCTCCTATCAGAACTAAATTCTCACCAACTGAGTATAGCCATCTTTTGGCCGCGGCCTTCATCAGGAAGCACTTATCCAGCGTCCGCGACTTGGAATTTTGCTGTTGAATAGCGCAAAGTCCTCAGATCGAAAATGCAGGTAGTTTCACACTGGCTTGCATCGTAACTGTGAAGTGCAAAGTCCTCAGACAGGTAGGTAGGTAGGTAGCTTCACACTGGCTTGCATCGTAACTGTGAAGGTGGATTTTATTCTTTCAACCACTGCTTCCGAAAGGCATCGGCCAACACGTGTTTCTGCTTCTAATATCAGATATATCTGTTGACTTTGTTGATCACACCACCTGATAAGCCAAGATGTCTCCGCACTAGCAACAACTCACTTGTGGCTAGTACGTCTTAGAAGTCTGGATTGTTGTAGAGAGCTACAAGTGAACGGTTATTTGGAATGTTCTTCACGTCAGTGAGGAAGGTAAAATATACTCGTCGTCTGGCACTTGCTTATGGGAGACCACGGTCAGCACTCGGCGTTTAGACCCTATTCGGCGCTCATATACGCCTCCGTGATGCCTAAAACTACGATCGTGACTTCAACGATAGGAGTGTTCACGACCTGCGCCAATGAAGCCCCTTCCCCCTAGGGGAGAAAAGATCCAGCCCACCATCCAGTTTTCGACACGATCTCATCTATCCTGGCTTTCAGCCGTGTTTATTTGGACTAGGTGAAGTTACGATATTCTCGCGGCTTTCCCAGTGGCATTTTCTCATTGATAGCACCCTACAACCCCTCACCTTATCACCCAGCGGTTTCATTTTCCCCGTCGTCCTCATCCTCATCATCGTCACCATGAAGGCTCAAGGTAATAGCCGCAAGATGATCATGACCAGGTAGTTGTATTAAACTAGGCTCACGACGGAAAGATCAGAAAGCCGCTCACATTTAGACCAATGCACAAAATGGAGAAACCAAAGCCAGCAATTCCATGGTACAAAGTTGACGGGATGTCCCAAGCGGTTAGAGCGCGAGTTTACTGACCGGAAGGTTCGTGGTTCGAATCCGACCTCCGCCACTCGACTTCCCCTGTCTAGGCTTGGGCAACCTGGCAGTATCCCAGCCCTCGTGCTTCCTTCGGGTGGCGGGGCAGCTAGGCACCGGAAGGGTGCTNGGAGGATATGCACTGCTGATGGGTTCCACAAGAGTTCAGCGCTTTCCCTCTTTAAAGTGGTCCATCAGGACAGGAGCAGCAGTGTTCAAACGACATTGATGTGAATGCAGATTCAGTTATAAACCCTATGCTAAGGTACAGTGGTTCAGCTGATTCCTTTACGCCTAGTAGGGTAACATATTCGATGGAGGATCACCACTGACTAAGTGAGACGACGATATGTGTCAGAGTCACTAAACGATGATTTATCACGCACCGGGATTCTCATCCTGGAAGACGGCAGGTATCAATGCGACCTCGTTGCCAAGTCATGGAGTGACCGATTCTGGGTGATCTTCCTCCGATACGTGGCTGGTGCAGAGGGAACATGGTCCTCTGGTATATGAATTAGATGGCCTAGCCAGCATAAGCTATGAAGCGATCAGCTGATCTGTCGAGGAATAAGTATTTTTCTTTGCCGAAAACCGTCCAGTGCATCTCAGCATGACTTACCCGATGTTCCTACCATAGCCACGCGATGCATCGCAGGCATCGATGGTAAAACGAAGATATGCATATACAGTGGCCACCTCCCTGACGCATAAAGTAAGAGAGATGCCGGTACGGATGCAGTGTACATCCTAACCTTGACAAAAAACTGATGCCATGTCGGTGCCACAAATATCGGAGGTTGGCAGACGTCACCCTCGCCTTCTCGGCCTAATAAATGATTTGGCCGTTCGCCAGTCTACAAGGGCCTACGGGACTGCTCATATATATACATATATATATATATATATATATATAACAATGGACAAATCATTCACGGCCAACGACAGGAGCTGCGGTCGTTGGTCGTGAATGGTTTGTCCATCTATATGCGCTCAAACACCTGAACAATTCACAGCCAGTTTTTCGGAAAACGATGGGTTACACGTGCGACTTACGTACTTTTCACTTGTCTTATGGTTGTTATTGAAATTTTCGACTGAATATTCACATCTTGCAGATCAAAACATTCGGTCGATTTTGGTGAGGTAATTATCCGCTCTCCATTACCACAACCAGACTTTAAATCCAGTGGCGATCGAGTAGAAAGTCTTTTTGCTACACGCGCTAACTCAGAAGAGCAGAGAAAGCCATTGTTTTAGTTTTCTCATGCGCGTTTTGTAATATATGCTAATTGTTAGCTACCGTGCTTACAACCAACCTCTTTGTTGGATCCGATTTAATCCATTCAGAATGTGGGCTCGGAAATTAGCGGCCGAAGTGGGAAAACTAGTCAGTTGTATAACTTCCGGAGAATGTCGTTACGAAACCCCAGTTTTGGTGAGAGATTAACTCCAGTTGTGAAGTTACTAGGGACGTAATCACATACGTAAGATGCACACCCGAGTTTGGCGAACCTCCTACGTTCTGAGCGCGTTTCACCAAGTCATTTTTATTCAAAAAATTTCAAAGCTCACAAGAAGTCCATAGATTTAATCGAGTGTATTCTAGACCTCTATACCAAGGTAAACAGCTGAAACAGTTGGTGTTGTTATTAGGTTTTGGCCTACAATAAGGGACCTGACTTGAGAAACCAGAGTCAAAAGCGCCAATTCTTTCAGTTGAGTCTAGTTGGGAACCAAATTTATCAACACAGTAATGATCCTGAGTAGATGTACGAAAATTGGACAAGTAGTTTATATGAACCAGTGTTTCTTTATGCACTAGTTCATTGCTAATGTTTCCGCACGTTCTCATTGCGATAATAGCTCGCAAAGTTTACGGTACTGTGGAAAAACGTATATCCATTGTGATCATTCCAAAGAGAGCAGGCGCTTGTTGATTCATACTGAAAATACTGGTGAACGCCATGCATAAGGGGACAGATGACTGGCGTTCGGAACTTATCAATGTGACCAGTCACAGATTGGTCATGATGTCATGAATATCATGAGTCCTACCGTTTGTGAGTACGTATAACGGTGTGAATACTTACCACCTGAACTTAGGGGTGAGTTGTCCTATCATTTGTAATCTTTCGTTCTTGCGGTTTCATTGTATGGCGAACTAGTATGTGCTAAATGACCGATAATTCAAAGCGATCGCGTCGCTCAAGCGCGAATAAATCGTCTAATCAGACATGGCAATTGTTGTTGTTGTGGCAGCAATTGTATCATGCTCGCCTCATATGTCAGGTATCCGGAGTGGCACGGAAAAAGAAATACACCGCCTATGCGTTCTAATAAGAGCGGAACTCGGGTTCAATGTTTCCCCCTTCGTGTGAACAACCAGGATAAGATGAGGATTGTTCCAAAGCGAATTCTGCCCTGCGTCAAGGGAATAGCAGCTGATTCAGTGCAGCGCCTCTGTTCATATACGCCAAGATTTCGCAGTTATCGAAAATGACTTAATGCTGGTCGTTGGTTTGTTCACTGAGCTGGGCAATTTGATTGCAAACGTTTCATCACCAATCAAGGTGACATCATGAATGCGTTTTTAGCGTGCGTTGTTAGGGCGCGTTGTAGAGCGTAGTGCTGGGTTGGTGGTTGCGCGTTGAGTAGTGTTGTGTATGTTAATATACATGCTGCCAGGCATGGTTGCCCGTCGATCACGACTGGATTTTCGGTCGATCGGTTCCATTGGTTTTTCTGTTATCCTATGTCCTGACTGATCGATGACCACGCGAAATGTGAGCCTGGCCTCCCCTTTTCTCGTGTTCTGTTCGATGCTGAAGTGACCTCTGTCGTTGACCGCTCTGGGTTCCAAATTGTGACCTTTGTTGATACGCTCCCTGAAAACGCTCGCTAACAACGCACTGATGATATCACCTCGATTGGCGATTAAACGTTTGAATCAAACTGCCCAGCTCACACCAAAGACCATCTATGTTATTTGAGCTACCAAAATTGTCTTCTATGACTTCATGGTACTCGGCTAATGCTAGCGCTGCATGGACCAACTGAGTCACGCTCCGGTTTGTTCAACTAGCTTGCCTCTCCTGGGGTGGCCCGACTTCTAACTTTCAGTTGTGTGGCGGTGTGCCTAATGCACAGTCGTCAAAATGATTCTCCTACACACTGTGCGCACTCATTCGGCTGAAGCGGGTAGCTCAGGCAAACCAGTTGTTTCGGCGGAACGTTGTCCATTTTGAAGAGAGTGTGGATGTTGAAAGTGAAGACTACACAAAAAATAGTTTCAAGTGACTGAATTCGGTACGGAATCCGCACCCCAGAAACTAGTTTAACTCTCGGTTGGGTGGCTGAAGCATGTGTCCGGCGAAATCTATCGGATATGTATTGCTTCTCAACGTCCGTTTCACATGGATAACCTCGTTTTAGGACAAAGCTATGTTGTTACAACGCGGGTATGTGAATTATTGCTTCCTTGTTATTCGAAGGGTGATCAGATTTAAAGTTTAAGTAGTGATCTGATTGCATAAGTTTTTCGTGACATGTGGTTGAAATTGGATATGGTTCTAGTCAAGCAAAACAATCGTCCTGTTGTGTCTCATGTCCCACAATGAAACGAATGCAGTTAACAGTCCTTGAGATATGGTTTACTTAACACCTTTATCACAGCAAATGTGACACCGTGTATCTCAGCTAAACTCTCGGAGGATTGTCAGTTTGCTCAATGCTTGAGATTCGATTTGTGCGAAGAATAGGTTGTCTACGGCAGGAAAAACAGATTAACGGCCTTCTGGTCAAGCTGGCCATCGCTCGCTATTCGCATGACGTTCTCACGTGCTAACAGCTTGTTGATTTAGCTGTCGTTTAATCCGGCCAACTTCACGACACACGGGTGACGCATGCACCACAGAAAACGCGTGGCACGACAACTCACTCAGAGGAGAAGCATGCACACAGCGGGCACTGGAGGCAAGACACGTGGCATTCAGATCAGAGCAACCCTTGCACACATAAATGCGTTCTGACCAGTCTTTGGTTGCAGAAATTCAGACTTCAGTTTGCGGCCTAATTGCACTGGCACACCGAAAATGCTTTTAAACGGAACCATGGAACAACAACACTCGTTGTAGTGTTCTGTGGGATTCAATCTGCAATGGGTGCTTCCTGAGAGCAAACTTCCAACTCCCAACGAATACACCTGCGGTTTTCACAGCAGCAGATACTTCTCGCTACAAAGTTGCGCACAAAATTCCTGCATGTGCACCTAGCCTTTGACGTCGGACATAACTAACGGGCTTGCTAACTGTTTTTCATCCGTGTTATAGTAATCTGCTCGATGGAGAGACAGCCTGAACACATCAAACGAAGCGGGTCCACTCGAATGGGTAGGGAGGAATATCGAAGCCTACAGGAAACCAGTCAGAACTGATTATATCTAAGAACAGCAATTTCGAGAGATTAATACAACCGTGAAGCCGTTGACAATAAGCTAAGCTCAAAGTGGACGCCTGAGCCATCGTAAGTCAAACGGTCGCGTTTAGTGTGCCACGCAAACTTTTAATGTTTCTTCCCAAAGTTGTGCTATGGGGGTCACTTTTTGGATACTATCGATGGTCCTGAACATAGGAGGAATTTCTCATCATGGACCCTAAAAGCAGAGTCTCAGCTTCTTCAAAGAATCAACTTATCTCGCTGTTTGCATTGGTAGCAATAACTGCGTTTAATTTCTTAATAGAGACTCCTAGTCAGAGAGTATTTGGTGGGCTTCGGGTGTGGTTTAGTTCAGCGGCCCAATTTAGCTAATTAATAAATGAAGGATTCTTAGGAATCGTCACAGTACAACTACTGTTTTAACGTCGTTAGATAAAGCTAACGCAGAATCACATACATCTTGCACGTAGACCTGCACTAGATTATTAGAATAAATTGGTGAATTCGTGGCAACCCTGGCCTCATCCAGGATTCGCTTTCTCTGTGTTGGTTATTTTCTTCTATTATTATTTTGTACAGCGTGGCTTCGCGTTTTTGTTATTTCGGTTTTGTGCCCATACCACCTTTCTTGTTTTCGATCTGAACGTAAACGGCTATCTGAACTTGTCATCGAACGTGTTGCTAAAATCAGTGCGTGGTTTTAATCTATTATAACTCCGTTTCTGTGAGTCGGTATGGACTTTGGATCCCTTAAGAATTATTAGTTCATAAACCAGTTTGTATCGTAGTCCATAGGTTTGAGGCTTGTACAGTTTTACTATTTCATTACAGTATTACTGTATTACAGTATTACAGTATTTCATTATTGTATTCATAGTAACATATTTGTCTACAAACCTCCATTTGAACGATTTGAATTTTGGGTTATGCGCGTAACTCAGCGTGGCCCAACCGGTTGCTGGAAACAATCTATACTGGGCCCATTTCGTTTTCTATTCATATCAACCACTTTGGATTTAAGAGTTTTCGGATAAATTCTTTTATATGGTGTTTCTCATTTCTCATTTGGTTTGTTTCACCTGGGAACAAACATTCATACGAGACCAAAGTTTTGAGTGTTTCTTCAGAATCACTTATTCTAGGTACGATGTAAATTAGCTCAGCATGGCAAAGGCGTATTCAGCCAAGCCCAAATGGTCATATTCTGACAGCATTACAACCCTTACGTTGTGACCAAGTTTTCAATCACTCAGATGCACTGTACAG